AAGGTCTTTGTTTTGTTTTTTTTTTCTTTACAAGATCCTTGGAACACAGGCTCATGGAGTATACAGTGCTTGTTCTTCAGCCTAACATCTGAACTCAAAAATATAAAACAAAACAAAATATAAATATTATAAAATTGTCAAGCTTGATCTGACACACTTATGAATATTTTTCAAAGCACAAAATATGTTCCCACCTGAGAGCAACCTAATGGTGTATCTCACACCACAGCATCTTCACATAGTCCACCATGGAGCTCTTCCTACTCTCACAAACATAGGAAATTTCATCCAGTACAGTATAATTGAGACTATGGACATTTTTTTTCCTTTCTTAAAAAGCTTTTCCTGCCAGTCACAAAGTAAATAATAGCTTTTTTGAAAAAAAAGGAAGAAAAAAAAGGAAATTCTATAACCTAAAGCTCCCCTTTCCCCCAGGGAGGTAGAGGAGAATTTGTTCTGCTCATGGCTACATACTACCATTTTCAAATTCTTGGAAACTCAGTAGTACTGACGCTTTTGAAAGTTCCTCAATAGAACTCACTGGGTGAGATCACCACTCTTAAACATACTTAATCTTCAGACATGACTGTATTTCTTTCCCTCTTTTTCCACGAGACACCCAACCTGCACAAATCTCAGCTGACACACACACTTGCTATGTTGCCCAAATACAAACCCATCAGCTGCAACACCAGAAAGGTGAAATGCTCCATTTCTGCAGAGAGAAGCCCATATACTTACGTTCCCTGGAAAACACACAGACATTGGCCTCTTGTAGCTGTTCCAGAAGCAACTCCTTAACACGATTTCAGCTGCAGACTTCAGGAAAGCAAGCAGAACAATGAATGGACGAACAGATGGACCCGCGATGTCTTTGCTTAACCTATTACTGCGCGGACGCGGAGCCAATCACGACCCGCAGAGCTCACAATTAGTTGGCCAGGCAGATGCAAGGCAACCTCCTCACCCTGCATCAGGTTCGGAGGTTTCTAAGATAAGCAAGTTGATGTCATTCTCAGGGTCTGCCCGGGGCAGCATGTGTATTAACGAGGGGTGTGCAGCAACAATAGGCCATACAAAAGAGACTAGCAGGCAGCTGCTGTATGAGAGGCAGAGTCATTAGGGAGCAGGCTGCCAACAAGAAACACCTGGCTTGGGCAGACTTCAGCTTCTCCTTATTGTTTCTAATTCATGAAACAAAGAAAGGAATTATTTTTAAGTAGTAAAAGTTGTGAGTTCCTATTAAAATATATGAGTCCTAAGGAATATAATCCCTTCTATTACAGAGACAAGAAGCTCTTTGTCAGGAAAAAATATTAAAGAGAAATAAATCTATTAGTAGCTATCTCTATTCTCTTTATCTCGCTGGCAAAATTAATCATATTGATACAAATCACAAGGAGGTATGAAAGGAGACCACACTAAACACTGAAATGTATTCAGAAGCCACTTTCTGAATTTCCTGACACTTTTGTACATCAGTCAATAAATATAATAAACTTGCATTTACACACAACTCTAACAGAGTACTTGTGGGCAACTTCAATGCAAAGAAACTGATTAAACTAAGCCAACATAATATTAATATGTGAAATAATGGATATTTTAAAGCAGTGGCATTGAAACATTAGGGCACTTGACAGAAAGGAACTACGAACCACTCTTTTGTTCTGCAGTCACTCGTATTTGCAACAGAAGTTCTTTCTCTGTGATTCCACAGATCTGCTTGAGGTGCCAAGATCTTCCTGTCTCTTTGCAATGATGAAATATTTGAACAAAAGTCACGAGCTAGGTCATTGCCAGCTTTTTATGGTTTTTAATTTTATTGAAGTAAGCCACATGGAAACACAAATTCCAGTCCACACCTCCTCTCCCCTCATTGCTCAACAGTTCCAGTACCACCAAGCCCTGCAAAACACATATTTAGCGATGTAACACTTGCAAGGGTTTGACGCTTGACAAAAAAGGTGGAACTATGTGTGGACTTTCAAATAAAAAGTTGCCATTGCTGGTAACTTTAGTGAAGACAGCTCATCACAGAGAAGATGACCATTCTACATTTGCAAATGTTTATCTGAATGACTGCTAGAGAAGTCTATTTACTGATTCAACATCATTACATGACTAAAAGCAACACCAAGAACCACAGAGGGAGCTGACCTCTGCTTGGGACAGCGGGAGATCTGCTGGTAAATATCTACTGTGACTTAAAAAGCAAAAAATAATGTGAATAGGCTTGTTAGAACCATTTTTAGTGATTTGCCTAATTTTATGTGGATATTGAAGTGATTTAACATAGTAAATGAAACCACATACCATCATGCATTTACACTGATGCATATATCACATGCCTATATATTAAGCTGCAAAGCAGAAACCCTGGCTATGGTTTCTCTGCACTGTCCAGTAAACACTCCTAGGAAAAATTACTAACACAACTATTTTGGAGCTTTTAAAGTTAGAGGCAGAAGGAGACTCCTCACTAATTTCTGCCTCTGTGGACGCAAAGAGTGAGAGAAAGCTACCCACAAGCACAGTGGGATGCCTGATCTCCAGCACTGGATTAAGCCTCTTTGCAAACAGTGAATAAAAGCAGTGATCTGAAAAAGCTAATCAGTCCCTGCTGTGGTATTTAGACTACCTCAGTTGCCGATATTGGATCATGTTAAGCATATTAAAACTCCTGTAGGCAAAATAAGAAGCCAGTCCACTTCACCTATGTCCAAGAACACTTGGTGAGTCATTAATTTAATATCTTCATGATTAGAGCCAGGCAGTTCTCTGGCAATACCAGAAATGCTTGTTTTGGAAGAGGACATCTATGGTACCTTGATGTACATCTGTAACAAATTGAGAACTCCATAGTTCTGAAGTTGTGTACCTAGGGCTCTAAAAGAACAACTAGTGCAAATGTATCCATCTGGCTTAAAGGTCTGCCTTAAAAATAAGGTTATAAGAAGTTTATTTGTGAAGATATGTCCCCTCAATGTCCTTTACGGTACCAATAAGAATACACTCCCACCTCCTCCAAACAACTCTCCAGATTCCAAGGGTATGTCTTCAGGGGACAAGGTCTAAACTTCAGTTGCATATGACTGCTCAAGCTAACACCATGCTGCAGCATTGACTATGAATCAAGTCAGAACCTGAAGACTTACATTATATTATTTAATTTACAAAAAAGTATTCTACCAAGATGGACTTGCATGAATTCAGAAGGCATTTTCTTGTGCACAATGTCAGCTACTAAAACCAGCTGCCTATTCTGGAAGCAACTTCTCAGCTTTTCCCTGAAAGAAGTTGGGCTGTCCAAGGTTCACAAGGTGTCAGATCACGCTGTTAAATCAGGCTTGTGATGACAACCTCATGTAGTTCAAGACGTCCCCGCTCATTGTAAGGGGAGTTGGAATACACAACCTTTAAGGGTCCTGTCCAACAAAAACTAGTCTACAATTCTCTGGTTCTATGACAGAAAAACATTTTTATTAAGGTTTAACCAGTACTCAAAGCTTCCTACTGAGAATGATGAGGTCAACAAAGAAACCTCAGTAAGAAACACTGTGGTTCTCCTGTCACATCTGTAATAAGCTAACAGCATCACTAGAAGGTACACAGTGCAAACAAAGAGGTTTCTGCTTCTTGTGCTAAAACCTCCAAATCCAATAATCTGACTAGTTCAACTACCTCATTACCATGTTTAAAATACAAGGAGACAGTAAACTGAATCCAGTCACCAAAATACAGCAAAAGTAACAGCTCTTCCAGTTTCTGGCCTTGCAAGATCAGTAAGCACTAAAACCTATTTTTGTGGCTCCTAGAGCCACAGGTCCCTAATGCCACTGCATTAAACAGCAGGCCAGCGCAGAATCATGAAGTGGCTGGAGGTGACAGGCTAACTCAGGGACCGTGTGGTGGGAGGAGATTTCTGAACAGCACACAGCAAGGTGATGGGATGTTGCAGAGTGCAAACCTCACGGCTGGGTGAGGAGTGGGAAGAAGAGCATCTCCTTCCCTCTGCTGCCCAGTTTGGTACGAAAAGCATGCATGGGAGGATAAGAAAGACCAAAGGAGGGAGATGGAGCAGCTGGAAAATTCAGACAGTGTAGGCTGAAGATAATAGGAAAGTACTACTACAAGGGGAAAAACAACACTAAAAAAAAGCTGCTAGCTCCAGCCAACTGTTGTTCCAAACACACCGAAAAAAACCCCCTTAAAGATACATTATTTTATGCAACCATATAAAATGGTCATTCTGCAACTCAAGTTGTCTTACTGCAATTAGAAAGGCAACTTGTCCCATTAAAGTATTTAACTATCTTTTATTGTAGAACTTTATGATAAACCTCCAGTAATGATACACTTGCAAGAATACACTGCAACAAGTTACATCAATCACATACCATTACACTTCTGAACAGAGATGCAAAATACCCTACATACACTGTTGGACTTAAGAGCTGCAAGGGAGATGGTTATCTTAAAAATTATGAGGAGGCAATTCAAGAGAAATTCTTCTTTTCCAGTTAGTATGTTAAGAGATGCAAACTATCTTAAGTATAACACCTTGAAGAAAGTTCACTTAGCTTTGAGGAATGGCAAATGGTGCTCTAGACTGTATCTACACTAAGTCGTAAAAAAAACCCCAAACCACCTGCATTCCAAAGCCACACAGAGAAGTTAATTAAATGACCAGTAAAAAGTGCCTAGAATTCAGAAAAACAACTGCTATCATGATAAAGATGAGTAATGTTTTGCCTACAGAATAAACAGGCTTTAAAACAGAGTTTTTAAAAAGGATCAACTGCATATTCAAATGCAGTGTAATTTCTGTGTAGAAAAAGACATACTTTCAAATGCATAAAACTGAAGTGGCAACGAGTTCTTTCACTCTTTGAAAGAAGACTCAGCCGTCTATAGTTATCCTTAAAACTTAAAGGAGCAGAGATGCATTTTCCAGTAGGCCCTCATCTTAAAATGAGGTTAGGAGGCCTACAGCTTCTAGTATAATCTCATTAGATTATCAGCAAACTTGAGCAAACCATTGCAGCATTCATGATTTCAAAACATGCAAGAGGATGCAGAGAAAAGGAAAACCCTAAGTTTTATCATAAGCAGTGATTACTTTTTTGCTGACTGCTAGTATAAAGACAGTCTTTCCTTGCCTGTGGGTAGACAAAGGCCATGACCATGAGCTCTTTGTCACGAGATGACAAGGTGCCCCTCTGCAGCTTGCCTATGTAAGGAGCCCAACAGGCTTGAGCCAAAACAGTCAACTGTGCAGAAAGCAGAAAGCACCATTCTGCAACAGGAAAAACACCAGCACTGCCTGTCAGTATTACACTGAGAAGTAGCTCCTGAAATGAGACACATTTTCTGATGCAGAGTTTCAATTTGGCAGTTAATAGTTTTGATCACGTGACAAAATAAAAACCCACTATGTTTATCTAAGATGATAAAGAAAAAGTAGTTGCCTCAGCACCTTCATTTTGGATATCTATTGTAGGCATGGATTCCTAATCAATGCTCCTTCCACAGGATTGCAGAATCATTGAGGTTAGAAGACATATGTGGAAGTCATGTGGTCCAGTCCTCTGCTGGAGCAGGGCCACCTAGAACCAGCTGTCAGGACCCTGTCCAGACACCTTTTGAGTATCTCCCAAGGATGGAAACTCCACAACCTCCCTGGGCAGCCTGTGCCAGTACTTGCTCATGCTTACCATGAAAAAAGTTTCTTGATGTTCAGAGGAACATCAAGAGGAACATATCCTGTGTTTCAGTCTGTGCCCACAGCTTCTGGCCCTGTTCCTGGGCAACACCGA